TTTAAGTGACCAGCCGCGAATATTCTATTCTATTCAATTCTAGGGCCACTCGATATTCGATCGAAATATTTTTTTTATGATAGAGCATATCTTTATATGATATGAAAAAAATACACCATAAGGGAAGAGCAAAGTAATGCACCGGAAAAAAAATTTTTTTTTCGAAATTGTTGGGTTTTTCAGTTTTTAGGGGAGATGCATCGGGTTTTTCAAAAGAAATGAGTCTGTCACCCATTATTCTTCGTTCATATATGATGACATAAGACTACACCATCTTGTAACGGAGAAAGAGTGCGCCGAAAAAAAAATTTTCGTCGAAATTTTTACTGGAAGGGTAGATAGTTGAATTGAACATTATCATCATCGGATGTTTGCTAAATTATGATCAAACAAATGAGAGGAAGAAACAAACGGAATCAATTAATTGATTTATCATCATCAGTCGGTTCCAAGGCTTCAATTCTAGAAAAAAACCTCAATTTCTCGATCGAGTTTTTATCACCATACGATTGTGTGTGGATGGATTACCGAGCTCTTATCTTATTCTATTCTTGCAATGAGGTAAGGAATTTTCACGTTGATTATATAGAAATGATCTTTGTTCTCGGAATTGATCTCTTCGGATTTCATAGAATGCCGCGGAGTGATAGATGTCCGAATCCAATGGGGGCTCCTGGTGAGAAGAGACACCTCGGTTATAATTTACGTCCGATTTCCTTGACACTACACGAGAAATTTCCTTTTTTACCATTGTCTGCGAAAATCTGTGGTCAATGCCGAACGAGAGCTCCAACTTATGTCATTCCTCCATCTGTCCCCACGGTTAAACTTAATGCTACACATCTTCAGCATTCGGAAACTCCACCCGATATATCAATGCTCCAACCCGAAACATGTGACCCAAGTGTGGATGTGATGAACAATTCTCTGAGATCAGGTCGATCTTTCCATCTTGATGATTCCGGCAAATCAATCGACGAAGAACCAGACGATGAAGCTGAATTCAACAGTTCTTCCATGGATTATGATTCGGAAGATGACCAACGTGGCATTGATCCATCTTCATCTAAGCAGTATCGATCTGCGAGAGAAATAGAATTAGAAGAAATGTTGGATGGTATGAACCAGAAATTCAAATATCTGAGAAACTATCGTGAGCGCCTGCAAATCTTGACAGTTCATCCACAGTCGTGGAGTGCGCGGAAAATTGCTTCTGAATTTGGAACTACCAGATACATGGCATCAAGAGCGAAAAGATTGAGAAAAATTAAAGGAGTATTTGCTTTACCAATTGCGAAAGCAGGTCATTCACTACCCAGCACAACCGTCGAGAAGGTACACAATTTTTACCTAGAGCACAGCCGCGTCATGCCAGGAATAAAAGATAAAATATCCATCAAGATCAGTGGAGAGAAGAAAGTAGAGCAAAAGCCAATGATACTTGAAAATCTAAAAGTCCTTCATCGGAAGTACAAACATGCGAATGAAGATGCTAAGGTCGGTTTCAGTAAGTTTGCCGAGCTGAGACCTAAACAATGTGTAGTGGCGGGAGCAAATGGCACTCACGTGGTATGTGTTTGTACGTATCATCAAAATTGCAAATTGATGCTAGAGGCAATTAATATTGCGACTCTAACTCAAGATTCCCCCTGTCCACTCAGAGATTACAAAGATTGTCTAGCAAAATTGATGTGTACAAATCCAACCCCGGCCTGTCATCTGGATGAATGTAACGATTGTCCTGGAGTGAAATCATTATCATGTGACCTGAAGAAACTTCTCTGATTCTGGCGTGGAAATGATCGAATTTCGCGTGTGGCAAAGTATTGACAGGTGTACCTTGCAGACAAAGACCCTCCCGATGGATGAATTCATTGATCTTCTAATGGAACGATTGATAGTATTGAAGCCCCATCACTTCATCGCTAAAGAACAATCGGCTTTTGTCAAACAGCGAAAAGAGAATTTGGATAATGGAGAAGTACTAGTGCATTGTGATTTTTCGGAAAATTACGCTTTTGTGGCTCAAGATGCTGCTCAATCCTTCCACTACAATAATGACCAGTGTACAGTTCACCCCGTTGTTTACTACTATCGCGAAAAAAATGAAATCCAACATCGGAGTTTAGTCGTTTTGTCGGACAGTACGACTCACGATACTGCCGCTGTTTATTTGATACAGAAGATTTTAATACAGCATGTAAAAGACAACTGTGAAAGCGTGGAGAAAATGATCTATGTCACCGATGGAGCTGCATAACTTTACAAGAATCGTTTTCAGATCACGAATCTCTTGCATCACAAGACTGATTTTGG